TATAATTTTATCATCCTGACCCCATTTTTGCAGCTTATTCGTTTTCTCAAGGAGACTTCCGTAAAATTGCCATTTTGCCATTGTTGTCATTTCATCTTGCATCATCTGAATTTTGACCGGGTCCACTTCTGAACGATTCACTGGCTTGGTGCTAATGGTGGTGCTTCTCACTAACGATTCCGAATACGATTCCCGCGTACAATATGAGAGTAGGCCCGGTAACCGGTATGATGATGGACAAAAATATGAATAAAACGGCAAATGTTGCGGTACGAAGTTCTTCGAAGTCTCTCGGAGAACACTATAAATTTGTCAAACCCAAAGCCAAAGGAGACCTCAATATAATTAGTGGCGATACCAATCCGACCTTAATTTCTATCACCGTTCGTTTGCTTATACGCAATTGCCGTCAGTATATTGCTACTTTCCCATCGTTCTTCTATGCGTTTATCCACGTTTTCGCCTCAATTTTGCCTACAATTAAGCCTATCTTCTCCTTCCTCAAGTAGGGAGCAGTAAGAATTGAATAGATTAATAAAAGAGCGTTGTTGTTGTAAGCAGTTTTTCCCCAATTAAGGAGGAATTTTTAAAAGAGGAAGCAGTCAGTGTCAACACTGCAAAACGAATTTGATAATTTTTACATGAACGTTATTCATTATATCAGGGCCTAATGGTACTACAACCCGTCAGAGGCCAAGATAAGAATTTCAGTAAGGTGGCAAATTTCACAAGTTAATCACAGTCAAAGGGCTACAATTAAGTTGAGTGCTAAAAGAGTATGGAGCGTTTAGGGGGCATTTGGTGGGTATTCATTGACAGAAAAAAATAGGTAATTAAAAATGCGAAAGTAGTATACACTTGAAATTGCCTATCTTTAATAACAGAAACTTTTCATTAGTATAAAAAGCCCAAATAGATTAAGGCTAAGATATCAAAAGTTTCTATACAGCACTGAACATTTTGAAAACAAGAGGATGTTACAGAGTTCAAATTCTGGACAATAAGGAGAACATCTAGTCGATTCGGGATTTCTGTCATAGGTTTTTCACTGGCACTCAGCCACGCTAGTGTGATTAATAAGGTCAGAAAAACAGGCTTGAATAAGATGCCCCTCTGCCGTGCTGGCTGAGCAGAGATTTGGTCGCCTGAAAGCCCAGCATGGCAGCTGGTGCCCACTGGCGGTCGTTTTCAGGAGAAAAACGGTTGTTTGGAGAGGGATGCTGACGGGATGAGTTAGGGAAACAGGTTGACGTTGGACTGAAGGTTGGAGGTAATTGTGAGGCCAATGAGAAAGGTCGAAATGGTAGAGAGGCAAGAGGAAGGGGATGCGGTGAAAGAGGGTAAGTGAGAGATAATAGTGGTGGGCTTGACTGAGGTAATTGTGTCAACACCGATGCTGTTGATGAAGTCAATGAGTGTGCTGAGTCTGGCGGCGTGGCCGGTCGAGATACTAATGATGTTGTTGATGTGGTTGCAGTTGTTGCCGTTACTGTTAGCGCTGATGTGGGCAACTGGAGTGATGATAGCCGAGGTAGTGGCTGTTGTTGGGGTGGTGACTTTAATGTCTGTAAGGAAAAGGGGAAATCTTGGGCTATTGAAGGGTTAGCCGGGGGTTTTGTGGACTGAGCTCCATTGTAGGGCAGAGAAACAGGTGGTACCGTCTTATTTGCTCTATTGCCTAGACCGGCTGACTCCAGAAGATGTGACATGATTAGGACTGAAAGGTGCAGATCATGAGCAGTTGAAGTCGAATTTGACCCAGAAGGACCAGGAAGATGGGAATGCAGTGAGGGTTGTGACAAATTGGAGGAGATTTTAGTATGTTGTCCAACGTTACTTTGTCCCGTTGGTCTGGCTTGCGTGGTCAATGGCAACGGATTCGGCGAGGTCTGATGTGGTCGAGCTGTCAGTGTTGCCGACCAGTCTACAGTCGGTGGAGCAAGTTCAGAGTGCCGTTTTTCACGGTCTTCTGCCTGAGCCAAGCGACTGGGTGTGGTGAGGTTAGAAGGTGATGAAGCGGATGAGGAAGAGGAGGGGGAGGAAGAGGTAATGGCGCCGGCACTTTGCTGAGATGAAGTTAAAGCAGCGTAGGCTGCGGCAAAAAGAGAGGCTGCGGAGGTCGTTCCAAGTCCATAGGGCAGAGTGAGAGGCATCGCAGACTGGGCAGGAGCGGGAAGAGGTATTGTGAGCGGAAGACTGAGAGATGGCAGGTTGGACATGGCGCCGGGGATCTTAGAGGCAGTACTTTGGGCTGTGGAGATGGATCCAGAGGAAGGAGAATAGGAAGAGGTGACAAAAGAGGGCGAGGATATTTGAGAACGAGAGTTAGCTAGTGCTTGTTTCTCGATTTGACAGGAATTCGCTGGGATGAAGGCCGAAGTGGCTGAGGCGAGGGGCGAAGCTGAAGCCGTGGTCAAAGCTGAAGATGATGAAGATGAAGACGAATATGATGCGGTCGAGCAGGATGGTGATGATGAAAAAAGGGTTGAGAGGGAGGCCGCTGAAAAATAGCCGGTCAAGCGACCAACCTCGGGCTCGGCCAATTCGCTACTTCTTTCCCGACACCTTACATCGGCGCCAGATGACAACTTTTCGGTCCCAGCCACTTTGCCGGGTAGCATTATTCTGGCTGACAAATCTGTGGGTTCTACCTGTGGTTGCCCAGCCCCAGGATCTCTAGCAGACTGACGGTGTAAAGAATGCTGTCGATGCTGTAAAGGAAGTCGGTTCGCGTCGTGCAAACTGAGGTCGGAAAAAGTGTGCTCGTTAGGTCCGCTAGCATTCGTGCTGAGGCTTGCTAGTGAGAGTTCATCCGCATGTTCTTGGGCATGATGATGTCTTTGACAGGATTGCGTCAGTAGTTGATGGTGTTGCTGATTTTTGTACGAATGATTATAATGATGGTTGTGCATATGATTGGTATGTGAGTGTTGTGCATGCATTGGAGGCAGTGTGACGTTCGGCCGTTGCTTGATTGTGGGCTGTTGTAAGTGTGGATTTTGAGCGTCGTGGGTTGCTGAAGTCTGCGAATGATTCGAAAGTTGATGCTGATGCTGCCGTACCATCCCGGAGGAAGCCACGACGGCGGCCATCGTGGCTACTGCCGCAGCAGCGGCAGCCATTGAGACGGCAGTACCGGTTGTCGGGGTTCCCACCTTTAGAGCCCCACCGCCATGATGCCCGTTGTTGGTCGCACCAATACTTGCCGAGCTTCGAGATTTAATACATTTTCGCATGTGTTTCTCCAGAGTTGATGGCACTATAAATGGAGTCTGGCAATACTTACAGTGGTGGCTAGGTTTTCCATCCTTTCCATGCGTCTTCATGTGGCGCGTCAGTTTGGAAGACTGTGCGCAGGCGTAATTGCACAGACGACAGTGGTACGGCTTCTCGCCGGTATGACTTCGCCTGTGCACCGTTAGGTTGCTGCAGTTCTTGAAAATCTTCCCACAGTACTCGCATTGGTCATTGCGGCGATCACGCCGTCCCGTGAATACCACACTAGCAGAATTGCCAACTTTGAATGAGCCATTGGTACACGAAACTTCCCTAAACGGGGGGTTTGTAGGGCTCGGGCTATCCGACGGTGGAG